ATTTGATTGGTTGACCTGATGTTGACCTGAAAATTTGTCTACCTGACCTGGATTTTTCAGGTCGGGTCACAGGTTGATCTGACCTGATTCAGAGTTCTAAATATAATAATCATATTTATTGTTAAAGCTTATTGAATAAAGTGTTTGATAGGTATTGTATATATTAATAATTCTAATTTTGAATCTGGCTGAAGTAATGAATATATGTAATAATTTTTTTTTTACAAATAATCTTTTATATAAATAAAAAGATCTATAAGAAATTTTAATAATAATATAATTTTTTATGTTTATTAATAACTGCCTGTTAACTTTATATAATATTTAAATTTCTTTTTTGATAGCTATTTTATAAAAAATCATATATTTGTATTTTTAATTGCATTTTCTTTTGACATTTTATTAATATTTATTTTATTATTTATCAATTTTTATATCATAATATTGCTTTATTATGATAAAAAATCATGTCTCTTCTTATAAATATTATGAAGTATACAGCAAGTAGTTATAATATGTAATACTATTTCAAATAAGATTTCTAAATTATATAGGAGGCATCTCTATTTATTCATTAATAAATCAAAAGCCTGTTCTATTTTAATTCTTATTTAAGAATGTTTAAGATTAAAATATGTTTGTTTTTGAATTAATTCTAAAGTATTTTTTATAAAAAACTATTAATTAACTAACATTTAGATATCTTCTATTATCTAAATATATTTATTATTAAAATAATTTGGTACTAAATTATTTTGATTATTAAATTTATTATAAAGATTAAAATTTATTAAAGTTCTATTATTATGTGTAAAACCTGATCAATCAACAAATATATTATTTATTTTTTATTTTTTTTATTTTATTACTACTTGTAAAATTAAATAGAATTCTTTTCTATTAAAATAATTCATAAATAATAAATATAATGTTTTAATTAGTATATAATTATTATCAATAGTATTAATTATATTAAAAATTCTTTTAAAACTCTTAAATTCATTTGTAATTTAATTAATTTCTAATATTATATTTAGAAAAATGAACATTTCTGCTAAAAATTTTGCAATTATTACATTAACGTTAATAAAATCTCTTGATTTTAATGTATAACTAAAGGTTGACTCCTCTATTCAAACCTATTACCTATTAATTTAAAACATTCTCTAGTAGCAAGAAATAATAATGATGCATCAATTTTTTATTCTTATATAAGTCTAACTATATCAGATCCTATAATTTCTTTTTTTAAAAGCAGAATTATTTCATAATATAATCATTCAAATATAAATCTCATTAATCTAAAATGTCTTTTAAATTTAAAATACTACATATTTAAATATATTTTATTAAAATAATACTAAGATAATAACTTGTGCAATTTTTTAAATTGTAAATATAACAAACTTAAGATTAGAATATTAGAAACTTCTTCATTTTCTTATTCAGTTTAGTAAGTAAGTTTTTTCAAATTTATTATATTTAATAAATATAATAATTATTAAAATAATAATTAAAATTTCAGTTTCATTGCTTATTATTATGAAAAACAAAAATTTATTTAATTATAATGATAAAAATATAAAATACCAAAATATTGTAATTATAAATCATTTTATATAATATATATCATATGTTCAATCTAATCTTAAGCTGATTCCAATCCCAATTTCAATTTTTATCTTAATCATTTTGATAAAGACGTACAATATAAATCAATTAATTTTTTTATAATTATATTTATATTAAAACAAAGCAAAATATATTTTTATTATTAAATCTATTATTTTATCTAATTAATAATAAAATAAGATAAAAAAAAATATTTTTTATTAATGTTAATTTATTAAAAAATTTATAATTAGTATATAAAGTAAAAATTTTTTTTTTTTTGCAAATTTCTTCATTTTTACTATAAAGTGCCTACTAATATGATATATATATTTTTATGTAATTAGCTATTTTATATAAGGTTTAACTAACATTATATAGTTAAAAATATTATAATCTAATTAATTATTGAACTCAAAGCTATTAAAATGATTTTAAATAAATATTTTTATTCTAAAAAATTAAGTTTCAAATTTGTAAATATATAATTTTATATTTATGATCTTTTTAGATATAAAAATGCTATTTATAATTAATTTAAAGATTTTATTATTATAATAATCTAAATTATATCTTTTAGTTACAATATTACTGAATTATAAAATTTTAAATTAGTAAATACAGATCTTTAATTTTATATGATAAATTATACAGTTAAAAAATTATAGACAGTATATAATTCTTAAATCAAAACAAATTGTTGAACAAATTTAATTTTTATATTTTATTTAATTACTTTAAAAATTTGGATTTTGTATGTAAATACACAATTATCTATCACTTTCTTTAAAACTTCGTGTTACAATTCCACTAATATATGATAGGATAATAATATGCATTATACGTTATACATTGCAAAACACAATATAACAGATAGGATTTTTAAAACCGATCAAATTTTCTTTACTTTTCCTTTGCCAAGGATTTTTCTGCGTTGACCAATCATATGAGTATACATTGTATAAAATCCTGGTACATAAATAAATAATATCGTAACCAGTGTCCAATAAAAACTTCTATTAATCTTTATAGCATACGGTAGTGACTCAAATACTAATACTGCTTCACTACCTGCTCCAACGGGATACAAAATAAAGAAGAAAGTATACCTATTTACCAGCAACGAGAAATTTTTTAACAAAATATAAAACCTTCTTGAATCACTTTAAAAATAAATCACTTTACCTGCACCATAATAACCAGTCTGGTTGACTTCCAACAAGATTTAATCCGTAAAATGCATATCTAATACATTCAGTTATACTCCATGCCATTGTCATACTTGTAAATGCCCAATGAGATCTTATCTAAGAAGAAACCTTTCTTTAATAAGACTATTTTTGGATAATTTAATAAGATATATATCACTTACTTCTGGAAAATTGTTTACAATTATCCAAACGAGAGTCAAACGTGAAGCAACTTGAATAATTGTAGTTGGAAGAGAAGATCTTACAAACCCTATTTTAAATTACGATCAGATCCATGAAAAAAAACCCATAAAATCAAAAAGCGACCAATTTAAATTTTCGAGAATTACCTAAAAGAACATGAAAAATCTATGAAATTGCAAATAAAATTTCCTTATTATTTCATGAATTTGTATTATATATTTAACTTTGGCGATAAAATACCTCCAAGATAGCTCCAGTTTGTACAAGCTTTAATGTCCACCCAATTTTATCATATGCTTTTGTTATATCATCATTTACAATTAACTCCATAATGGATACAAGAACATAACTCCAACCAGCCCATGAAGCTGCATTATAAAATATTAAGTAGCCATTTAAACCTCTCGCAGTTTCACCTTTGTTTTTTGAAGACATTATGGTAAATGTAAATTTGCATATATAGAAGTAGGACCAGGTGAACCCAAACCTTTATGTGTCATTACCTGTTTCAATTCAAAAATTTATCACGGTATGATTTGCGTTTTCGAAATTAAAATTGCTAAATATATCTTTATTAAAAGTTTGAAAAAAGAAATGATTTGCGCGTTACATGTGATCTCAGCATTATAAAGCATTATGTTACACAAGTTTCGGTGTTCCTATTTTTATTACCAGTCTTATTACAGAAGGTAATAAAATAAATGATTGAAAGTTCTTTATGGAAAATTTATAATAAACCCTACATTATCTATATTTTTGTATTTTTTTTACTTTTTTATTATGTTTTAAGATGATTCGCTTAGAAATCAAGGATTTATCCAAAGGTAATTTGAGAACCACCGCCACCAGGAGGCTTCAAGACACTAATAATAATGAATAATTAGTTGTAATATATTTATTAAAATTTGATGTCGGTAAAAAAATATAATAGTCTTTTACTCACCGACTTGAAGGCTTGACAGAAGGACGTTGTTGATTATCATCACCAAATCCAACAGATGACTCGAATTGAGATTTTCCTCGTCTCTTGGAAGATCCAGATATAGAAGAGTCATGTGGTTGTGCGTTACTTCCATCTCCGATAGAGAAATGAGATGCATTTTTGTTGGAATTGAACCTCCTATTTTGGGCATCTGAATTTATTTATTTTTATTTTTTAAAAAAATTAGCTTCGAAATTAACTTCTCAAAGCAAATATAGCATAATTACTTACTTTCATCATAACTATCACTATCACCAAATACGGAAGATTTTCCACCCGTACCGCCAGGTTGATTTACGCGACTAGAAGTATGAACAGGTCGACGACCATACTGTTGTTGATCTATATTGACTGATCCAGCTATTGGAGCGTCATTTTGTACATTGTTATTGTTATTGTTATTCTCAGCATCTCCGATAGAGAAATGCGATGCATTTTTATTGGAATTAAATCTGGCGCGTTGAGAATCTGAAATTTTTTTTAGACAAAAAAAAAGCTATTAGTATCATTCAAAAATATTTTTTAAATCATAATATATTTACTTACTATCGTCGTAGGAATCATTATCACCAAATACGGAAGAGCCACCTGAACCACCACCAGATTGATGAGTATGAAATTGTCGACGAGATGATACCGCCTCTTGTTCTAAATATTTTTTTTTGCTTCGTATGAATTTTTTTTTTTTTTTTTAAAGGAAAAAGAAAAGAATTACTTGTAAAACTTACGGTTGTTAAGATTTGTTCGACCGACACCGGCTGCCATACGATCAGCTCTACCAAATGGATTGAGATGTGCACCTGCAATGTCGCGTACCACATCAATTTGTCTATCGCTAACGATTGGCCAAGAAGAGTTCTTATCGGAAATCCTATAAATATAAATTAATCAATCACACGTAATTACGACGTAATAATTCAATATATAATAAAAATAATTACAATTTAAGTTGTTTCAAGACAGATGCTTGATCCCAATATACACGCTTTTAATTCAAATAATTCAAATAATTAATAATGATTAATATGAAAAACTAGGGATGTTAAACGGTCCTAAAAGTCCCAATAAATTTGCCAGTTCTAGAGAAGATTTTTATTTTATTGGCGTTATATTTTATTTCTAATGATAATGCATTAATTGAATATTTATTAAAAATATATATTAAACTTATGCGGGAATCCAGAATCTTAATCTTTGAAACTTAGGACCCGGTTCCCACCATGAAAATTGTCGATTATAACAATTTTTATCAAGAGTTAATTATTATAGATAATCGATTAGACTTTTCTATCACTTGTAATTTCTAAATTCTTTCACAACCGTTTAACATCCCTATGAAAAACTAATAATAAAATTAATGATCACATACTATAGAAGAGATTCTATCACCCTCGAATACCGCAGAAGTAACCTAATATATAAAAAAAATTAATATCGCGCGATAAAAAAAAATCAAAACCCTTTTTCAACAAAGAAAAGAACTTACTGTTGGAATAACAACTTGACTGTCAATCGTGTATCGACCATCAATACCTGGCACAAGCCAAACACCATCGCCGTTAATAAAATTGATTGTAGTTTCCGATTCTTCAACAATGGAGTTTTCTCCGACAGTTCGTATAAGGACTCTGTCTATCACTCTAAGCATACGAGAGTCGTATGCAGTAGCAAGGAACTGTCTAACAGCATCGTAACCTCTTGCACCGGTAGCAGTTGCTACAAAGACGAACGAAACGTTTTCAGTGAAATAATCACCATCACGTTGCTTTCTGTACTGTTCCCAAACTTCTAAAATAGACATTTTGTAAAAAATTTACTAAATAGATTTAAATTGATGTAGGTTTTTTTATATTTTATTACGTGTTTGACTTAAGAAATAATATGATCATATAACAAAAATATTATGCGTATAGTTAAAAAAGAAAAGAGGAGAAAAAAAAAAAACCGCGAAGTTAAATTTTTAATTTCTGAAAAAAATAAGGACAGAGGGTTAAAGAATTTGTTTGAGACAATGGATCATATTATGTCTTTTTTTTTAAAAAAAAAATATATATATAAATAGATAATTTGCATCTTTTTTTCATAGGTACAAAGAACGAAAGGAAAGGATGCACAATGTTTCAGTCAGAAAACGCCATTCACTGCGTTCTATATGGACAAATCCTTAAGATCGATATATGTCATATGTGGATGACAATTAACATCCGACTATTAATGGAGCATAGACAGCATAGACAGCACCAATCACGGGTTGCATCTTAACATGATTTTCAATTATTTAATTCAATAGGTAAGCCGAAAATCCGGGTTTTGGGGTATGCTGTGACAGGGTACACAAACTTTATTATTTTTACAATGTACTTGTGAATTCTTCTTCCTCTTCTTGTTGCTAAATTGAAAATTTGATAAAGATATCATTTTAACCTCAAAAAATTAGATATTATAATAAAATAAAATACCAATAATTTTTGTTGTTCTAGAAACCAAGAAGGTAAATTATGAGGTAGAGTGATTAAATCCATATCAAACAGTTCAATAAATTGTTCGTTTACATATCTCGCTTTATTTCCTGCATAACAGCGATACTTAAAATATAATAAAATATTTTGTTTATCATTTGTAAAATTAATTGAATTGCAAGATATAATAAATCTCATACCTCTGCAACAATCGAGTTAAAATTCCAATTTTGTAATTTACGTAAACATCCGACAAATGTTCCAGTTTCGTGGATACCTGACCTTTTACGCGTATTGCAATATGTCCAAGTCTCGTAATTCAATAAATAAAAGAGTTCACGTCAAATTAAATAATTGTTTATGAAACATTACGTGCACATAACAAGTATCGGATGGTTTTCAACGTCTAATGCCATTTCCAATCCATCCTTTATCAATTCTTCGCTGACAGGTCGCCATCCAAGATTTGGTTTCCAAAATTTCCAAACTCTCAGTCCTAAATGAACCTTTATATCGTGTAAAAATAATGAAAAAAGATGCTAGAAAGTATATTATAAAGATACCAATTTAATGTTATTATCCTCTAAAAAGTTAGTTACAGCACGAGTGGGAACTTCAGGAGATAATACGAGAGCTGTTTTTAGTTGAAGCGCTTTAATAAAAGAAAATTGAGAAGGATGTAACATGTCTGAACGATAAACGCCTTTTTCGATAATTCCAAATTGTTCAGGTGGAGTCAACATTATTGTTAAAAGAATGATGATTGATTAATGGGGATTGGGGGAATCTACTTTCTGATTAGGAGAAAAATCTACCAATCAGATCTTGCTCCCCAAATTTTTAGGCCTTTTTTTTTTGATTCGTATAAATATTTCCGTTTTTTTTGTCGGAATAGTTCTCTCTCTTTCAAATATCTCAAAAATTGAAGGTTTGTTTAAAGTTTATTCATCCATCCTGGGTATATTCATTACCAATCAGCTGTTAACTCTTGAAACTTACATTTTTATTCATGTTCTGACTTTTTATTGGAATCAAAGGTTGTTTTTTTCATTTTATACTTTTTTATTATTTTTTTTAGCATTTGCGAAAATGACGGAAGCTGCTGTTGCTGTACAGACATATGGTCGTAAAGTAAGTAAATATTTTCAATGATTTTAAATAAAAAAATATATATATAATTAAAAAAGTATTTTTTAATTAATTATTTTCGAATAAGAATTTAAAAATTGACGAATTTCAAATTGTAGAAAACCGCGACCGCTGTTGCTCATTGCAAACGTGGCAAAGGCCTTATTAAAATTAACGGATCACCAATCCATTTAGTCGAACCAGAAATTTTAAGATCCAAGGTTTACGAACCTATATTACTTTTGGGACAAGATCGATTCGCTAATGTAGATATCAGAGTTCGAGTAAAGGGTGGTGGACATACATCCCAGGTTTACGCTATCCGTCAAGCGATCGCTAAAGCTATCGTTGCTTTCTATCAAAAGTATGTAGATGAAGCACAGAAAAAGGAAATCAAAGATATTCTCATTCATTATGATAGATCTTTGTTGGTTGCTGATCCTCGCCGGTGTGAGCCAAAGAAATTTGGAGGTCCAGGTGCCCGTGCACGGTATATATCGTATTTATTATTAACTTTTGATAATTTCAATAATATATTTCTAATCCTTTTTATTTTTTTTAAAAAATAATTATAACAGCTACCAAAAATCTTATCGTAAATATATTTGTTTTTATTATTGTTTATTGAGGTTTTTATAAACATCAATTAATATATTTTTACCTTTTCCCCCTATAGGTTAATCTGTCATGTTTTTGAAATAAAGGAATACCTTAATATAATCACGTGATTCAGAAATTAAAAACTTGCACGATAAATTCTAAAAAAATTTTTTTATTAATTTGATTTTACCCTTAAACTTCATTTTTTACGTATCATAAAATCCCTTAAAAATAAATTAAAAAAAAACATCCTATGAGTCATTTTGACTGAGAATTATTCATATTATAATTGATTAACTTATGGAATTTGCAAACCGAATAAACATCATCTTTCTCATGTAGAAATGGCCGGGAGACTCTACGGGACACAAAAACAGATATCGCGGTTCGGAAACAACTCCGGCAAAATTAAAATCGCTATTTTTTATAGTGTCCTCATTCCTTTAAACCTTATTAAACTTATTCCAAACAAGCAAGGAATAAAGAACATCAAATTAACATTTATTAAAAATAGATCCGCTGTTTTCTTCACGGAACGTCATTTTGCGCGTTTTTCTGAGCCGTCGTTACTTTATGACAAGATAAAACCTTCAGAATATCTTAGACAGAACGATCCGTCAAATTTAAATCCAGCGAGACTTGTCTCGAATATTATAAGCTTATTAACTTTAAAAAGAATAAAGGGACACGATCGTAATTATTTATTGAACGCGAATAGGCCGTTCTTAACATATTTTTCTACTTTGGTTTCAAAGAAAACAGTTAAAAAAATGGATGAAAAACTAGCTTCTGCAGAGATAGTTAATGCTGCTATAATTAATGCAACTGATCAAGGTTCTTCACTGAGTTTTAGTCCAGTTACGCCGGTTCCTCACGTTAAAGGAGCAGATTTAGAAAATAATAAACTCGATTCGTTTCGTAGCTTTGTAGCTTCAATAATTGCCAAATTTTCTGGGAAATCAGCCGATGATATTTTAGGGATATTAGAAGTTCCCAAAAAACCGGAATTTGGCGATATTGCTATCGCCATCCCTAGATTGCGTATAAAGGGCAATCCAACACAAATAGCAAGGCAATGGACTGACGAGGTATTTTTGTTACTTTAATTTAATATTTAAATATTAATTAATATTAATTTTTTTTTTTGTACTTAGTTTGTACCTAATGAATATATCATTTCAAGTTCTGCAGAAGGACCTTACTTAAATTTTAAGATCAACAAATTACTCCTTGCTAATATTCTTCTTGATGATATATATAAACGAAAAGAAAATTACGGAAATAATCAATCAGGAATTGGTAAAACAGCACTTGTAGAGTTTAGCAGTCCCAATATCGCGAAACCATTCCATGCTGGTCATTTGCGCAGTACGATCATTGGCAACTTTGTCAAAAATGTACATGACGCAAATGGCTGGAAAACAATTGGTATGAATTATCTTGGAGATTGGGGTAAACAATATGGTGAGTTGATTTAAATATTGGTTCCTTTTTCAACTTTTATCGTAAAATTATTCCTTAATATTATATAATTTACTTTTTTTCGATTTCAGGTCTTTTAGCTGTTGGTTTTGAAAAATATGGCTCTGAGGAGGAATTGATTAAGGACCCTATTAAATATTTATATAATATATACGTGAATATTAATGTAGGTTATCGAAACGATTCTAGTGGATCCTCAGACCTTATACATGTATAAATTTTTTTTGATCTAATTTATTTGTGAAATTGTATAGAAAGAAATTGAAAAGGATGAAACAATTAATGAACATGCTCGTGCTTATTTTAAAAAAATGGAAGAAGGTATTTTATGATCTCCTTTCTATAATTAATTAATTAATTAATTATCAATCAACTATATCCGAGCCTTTATACGTCTTTAGGCGATGAAGCGGCACTTGCATTATGGAAAAAGTTTAGAGATCTGAGTATTGAGAAATATAAGGAGATATATGCTCGTCTTAACATCAATTTCGATGTTTACTCTGGGGAATCTCAAATTAGCAATGAAAATATGAATCGTGCTTTGGAAGTACTAAAGGATAAACACATCATAAAGGAATCTGAGGGAGCATTAATTATTGATTTGAATCAATATAAAATGGATGTTGTTGTAGTACAAAAGAATGATGGCACCACATTATATATTACTAGAGATATTGGGGCTGCTATTGAAAGATATGAGAAGTATAAATTTGATGCAATGTATTACATTGTTGCTTCTCAGCAGGATTTACACTTAAAACAGCTCTTTAAAGTATTGGAATTAATGGGCATGGAGTGGGTAGATCGATGTAAACATATCAGTTTTGGTATGGTTAATGGGATGAGCACTCGTAAAGGAACTGCGGTTTTCTTGGATGATATCTTAGAACAAACCAAAGAATCGATGCATGAAGTAATGAGGCAGAATGAAAAAAAATATTCACAAATCGACAATCCTGATCAAGTAGCGGATATAATTGGTATTTCCGCTGTAATGATTCAGGATATGTCTGCTAAAAGGTAAACTAGTATATATATATATATATTTTGTTTATCTGTAAATTAAAAAAAATTGTAATTCTTTCTTATATAGAATTCGTAATTACGCTTTCAATTGGAATCGCATGTTTTCCTTTGAGGGTATGGCATCATTAAATTTTTTCATATAAAAAGTTATGCGTGGTGTCATTATACTAAAAGGAATTACGATGCTATTTTATAGGGGATACTGGACCTTATCTTCAATATGCTCACGCTCGTCTTTGTTCAATTGAGCGAAACTGTGGATTTGAAATTAATCCCAATATTGATATTAGTCTTCTTTCAGTAAAACCGGCATTGGATCTTATTGATATAATTGCACAATATCCTGATTTCGTCAAAGCGGCGTTACACACATTAGAGCCTTGTACGATTGTAACATATGCAATGAAGCTAAGTCACACTGTATCCGTGGTTTTAGAAACTTTGTGGGTTGTTGGACAAGAACGTAAAGTAGCAGAAGCTAGATTATTAATGTATTGGGCTAGTCGAATAACGCTTGGAAACGCCCTTAAATTATTGGGATTAAAACCTTTAGAGAGAATGTAAACTTAGTATATTAATTAATTCTTACAAAAAAAATTTAATAATAATCGATTGTCTGGTCAAAAATTGCGTAAAAACATTTTATTTTTTGTTGAATTTATTGATTTGTACCGCAATACCTTTTGATTATTCAGCGGCTTTGAAATTGAACATATTTAGTCTTTGCAATGTCCCTAATTAAACTGCGGTCCACACCAGAATCGTCTTAGGCAATCGGGCAATGACGAACTACTTGTAAATCGTTTTTCAAACAATATTATATAATTTTTATATTATACTTTTATTTAAAAAATTTCTGCGGTATGCTGCGGTAAGATCCGATTATAACTGCGGCTGAGAATGATATAAAAGGATCGGATGATTTCTATATAGAATCCTGTTGAGTAGGAATTCTCGAAATAAACGGTCCTTGAGAATTTTTTATCATCCTTTTTTTTCCCCGGGATCCCATCCATCCTCTTTTTATTTCTTTGATTAATTCTTCTATCGATTAATAAACGAAAAAATGGTATGTTAATATATTAATGACTTTTTTTTATTTTGTTATATAACAAAAAATTTCATATTTGAGTATGTGAGTGTTCGTTCTAAGAAGAAGGTTATGTATCATCGCACTGATTTTCTTCTTTTATATTACTTTGTACTTGTAAAATGCATAATAGGTGAACTTTACAGTCGACCAGATTCGTGGTCTTGTATGTATAAATCTATATTAAAAAAATTTTTTTTTTATTTCGATATTTTTTTATTGATTTTTTGTCATGAAATTTAAAATGTTGAAAACGTTCTTATTTGTAACCTTATAATAATGAATTAGATGGACCGCGTTTCCAACGTGCGTAATATGTCCGTTATTGCACACGTTGACCACGGAAAATCTACTCTTACCGATTCGCTTGTATCCAAGGCCGGTATTATTTCTTCACTGAAAGCTGGCGAAGCACGTTTCACAGATACTCGTGCCGACGAACAGGAACGTTGTATCACGATTAAATCTACAGCCATTTCAATGTATTTTGAATTGCCAAAAGATGATCTAGTAGATGTAAAGCAAAAGACCGAAGGTATGTATCATCAATCAATACAATTTATTTTTCTCGTGATTTACTAAACCTTAAAACTTTTATTAATCATTTATATATATATATTTCTTATGATCATTTAATCAGGCAACGAATTCTTGATTAATTTGATTGATTCTCCCGGACACGTGGACTTTTCATCTGAAGTAACAGCTGCTCTTCGAGTTACTGATGGTGCCTTGGTTGTTGTTGATTGTATTGAGGGTGTTTGTGTACAAACAGAAACTGTGTTACGTCAAGCCCTTACTGAACGAATCAAACCCGTAGTAATTATTAATAAAGTAGATCGTGCCCTGCTAGAATTACAACTTACCAAAGAAGATTTATATACAGTATGTGTAATTTTTAGATATAATCTTGTTGTAATTTAAGTATAAATGTTTAAATTAATTATTTTAATCGTTTAGTCTTTCCAACGTACAATTGAATCGGTAAATGTCATCGTTTCAACTTACTTCGACAAAAGTCTTGGGGATATTCAAGTTTATCCTGAAAAGGGTACTGTCGCTTTTGGATCCGGACTTCATGGTTGGGGTTTTACCCTTCGTCAATTTGCCAAACGTTATTCTAAAAAATTCGGTGTTGACCAGGAAAAAATGATGCAAAAGCTTTGGGGTGAAAACTATTTCAATCCTAAAACAAAGAAATGGACCAAGCAAGCTGGAGATTCGACTGAACGAGCTTTCTGCATGTTTATCTTGGAACCTATCTTTAAGTTGTTTGATGCCATTATGAACTTTAAGAAAGATGAAGCTGCCAAGATGATTGAAAAGTTGGAAATTACCTTAAAAAGTGAAGAAAAAGAATTGGAAGGAAAAGCCCTTCTTAAAGTCGTAATGCGAAAATTCTTACCTGCTTCAGACGCTTTACTAGAAATGATAGTAATCCATCTTCCATCACCTGTAACCGCTCAAAAATATCGTGCTGAAATGTTATACGAGGGTCCTGCTGACGATGAATGTGCTATCGGTATTCGTGACTGTGACCCAAACGCACCTCTTATGTTGTACATATCTAAAATGGTACCGACATCTGATAAAGGTCGTTTCTATGCTTTTGGACGTGTTTTCGCTGGTACAGTTAGATCAGGACTTAAAGTTCGTATCCAAGGTCCTAACTATCAACCCGGTAAAAAGGATGATTTGTTCGTCAAATCTATTCAACGTACAATTCTTATGATGGGCCGTTATGTTGAACCTATCGAGGATTGCCCTGCTGGTAACATCGTTGGTCTTGTTGGTGTAGATCAATATTTACTCAAATCTGGTACTATTACCACCTCGGAGTCTGCTCATAATTTGAAGGTCATGAAGTTTTCAGTATCACCTGTCGTTAAAGTAGCCGTTGACGTAAAGAACGCAAATGACTTACCTAAACTAGTTGAAGGATTAAAACGTTTATCTAAATCAGATCCGTGTGTACAAGTTAGTACTTCTGAATCCGGAGAGCATATTGTAGCTGGTGCAGGAGAATTACATTTGGAAATTTGTTTAAAGGATTTAGAAGAAGATCATGCTCAAGTTCCAATCAAGACTGGTGATCCGGTAGTATCATATAGGGAAACCGTTCAAGCTGAATCATCAATAACCGCTTTATCCAAATCACCGAATAAACATAACCGTATATATATGAAAGCTTCCCCATTACAAGAAGAGCTATCAAATGATATTGAAAGCGGTAAAATTACTCCACGTGATGATTTCAAAGCACGTGCACGTATCCTTGCCGAAGAGTATGGCTGGGATGTTACTGATGCTCGTAAGATCTGGTGTTTCGGACCTGATACCACTGGTCCAAATTTGTTAGTAGATGTGACCAAGGGAGTTCAATACCTTAATGAAATTAAGGATTCTTGCATTGCTGCTTTCCAATGGGCAACAAAAGAAGGTGTTTGCGCTGAAGAAAATATGCGCTCTTGCCGTTTCAACGTTCTTGATGTGGTCTTGCATGCTGATGCTATACATCGTGGTGGTGGTCAAATCATTCCTACTTGTCGTCGTGTCATTTATGCTGCAGCTTTAACAGCCATCCCTGGTCTCTTGGAACCTGTTTTCCTTGTAGAAATTCAATGTCCTGAAGGTGCTATGGGTGGTATTTATGGTGTTTTGAATAGGCGCCGTGGTCACGTCTTTACTGAAGAACAACGTCCTGGTACTCCATTGTACAACATAAAAGCTTACTTACCTGTAAGTACTTGATTTGTAAATTACATCAACTTCTTTATATATCCTAATATATATCTCTCCTCTTATTTTTTTTTTAAAAAAAACAAAAGGTAAATGAATCCTTTGGTTTCACTGCTGATCTTCGTTCAAATACGGGAGGACAAGCTTTCCCTCAAGCTGTTTTCTCTCATTGGCAACTTATGAACGGAAATCCACTAGAAGCCGGTAAAGTAGCAGATATTGTAAAGGGAATAAGAAAGAGAAAAGGTCTCTCTGAAGAAGTAAGTATATTTTATTTTATATGAACATCATTTACATTTATTATATTTATTATTATATATACCTTACATTATTATAATCATGCAATTTTTCCAAACTCATTAGATACCTAGCTTGGATAAATATCTTGATAAATTATAAATGTGAAATCCCCGCAGAATTATAAATTCGATTTTTTTTAATTTCCATGCTGTTTAAATACTTAAAAAATTTTAAAAAATGATTTAAATAAATTTAATTATCGTAAAGTATATTTTAGTTTCTTAAACGTCTGATATTATGTCACGTGATTTTATCAATTTAAATCGAAGGATGAACCCGAAAATTGTTATTCCAGAAAAGATACGAAAAAATTAAGGAATTCGTTAATCAAGTATCCAAAAGTTTCGATCTCCTATAATCAAATTTTGAACCCTGGAATCAGGTTCTCAAGGAGGAATATTACTTTGAAGATGGGATACCTCAATTTGAAGATGAACCGGCATCACTCAAGATTCCAACCTTCTCAGGGCTAATGTGTCCTTAAGTGCATTGTGTTCTCTCAGTCCAAAAGCATCAGATCTAGAAAATGCATCAAATAATCCATTTTTTACTTGTTCAGAAATATTCGGAGTCAATCTCAGAGACAAATCTGGGCTTGAAGAAGTCCCGTGCCTTTTTTCACAACAGTCAGAGAATATACCAAATAAGGAAACGAGTTCTAGAATATTCTATCGCAAATTCCTAAAATTTGATTGGCTTATATATACAGTATCCGCATTTTGAAAAAAATTTTACAATACTTGTTAGCTTTTAAAACAAATAGAATAAGTTGTTTAGTTTTCATAATCACAAATAATCCCTTACAGTTAAATCTATTTATTAAAAGTAAATGAGAGTTTAAATCAAAGATGGTGTAGCAATTGATTTCAAATTTACAGATTGTTGTAACATAAGCTAAAATTTGTTGCAACATATATAGGTTAAAACTAATTGCAACATAAGTTACAACATTAAAAGTTGCAACTTATTAATTACAGTTCCTATCTTAAGTTTAAACTAAGTATTTGCTTTATATATTATTAATTAACATAAATAAAAGAAAACAATTTTGTTAGCTAAACTAATAAAAATTTAAATTTTTTTTTTTTAGTATCTGTTTACCTGAGACTTATAGCAAGAAACCTTTAATACATTTTTGCGAATCTAATTAAAAATTGGATTGAAACCAAAGAATCACAAAAATAGAAATATGCTAGTAATAAAGATACAGTTAAGAAGCTTTTACAATATTATATTTATTTTTTTGAATTTATTGACTATTATTTTTCTTTGAATGATTATTCAATTTGTGAAAAGTATTACAATCAAGTTATTGTCACTGATCAGTTTTAACAGCATTTGTAGGTTTTATTCAAAAGAATAAAAGATTTGATTTCAGCTTAAGGATAATTCAACTAATTATATTAATTCAATTGCTGATTTTAATGAAGTAAAA